AAGATCCAATCTATTTTGAAGGTCATTGTCTTTGACCTTCTATACTAAGGACATTAAGTCGTCTTCAGTTTTCAGCATGAAAGGCCATGTTATATGTATAATGCAGGTTGTTGAATCTTCCCCCAATCCAGGGGCCATGTTCTTCTTCAAAGAGTCCAGCCTCTCAAATGATTTGCTAGTATATAGATTGAATAGGTATGGAGAAAGGATACAGTCCCAACACTCATATTTCCTGATTTTTAAACCATGCAATGTTCCCCTGCTCTTTCAGACAGCAGCTGCTTTGTCTAGGTCATAAATTTCACATGAGCATAATTAAATATTCTGGGATTCCTGTTCTTCTCAATGTTAGCCATAGTTTGTTATGATCTACACAGTCAAATGCCTTTGCATAGTCAATGAAGCACAAATAGAAATTCTTCTGGTGTTCTCTGCTTTCAGCAATGATATCCCTAGTGCCATGGCCTCTTTTAAACCTAGATTAAACTTCTGTCAGTTTCTCTCTCTCTCTCTCTCCTGTTTTGGCCGTTTTTGTGGTTTCCCCCTCTCCTGTGGTCTTCAGCTTGTTTGTGATATTAATGATGCTGTTTGTTAATTTCCACATTTTGTTATATAACCTTTATTGAGAATAGGAATACATATGGATCTCTTCCAATCAGTCTGCCAAGGACCTGTCTCTAAATTTCCTGGCATGGATTAGTGAGCAAGTCCAAGGCTACATCTGTAGATTAAAATATGTCACTGGGTATCCCATCGATTCCTGGGGCCTTATTTTTTGTCAGTGCCTTCTTGAACTTCTTCATTACCACTGGCTCTTGTTTATATGATACTTTCTGAAATTTTTCAGCATCAACCAATTCTTCTTGGTACAGTGACTGAATATTTCTTTCATTTTCTTTTGATGCTTCCTGTATCATTCGAGATTTTGCCCGTAGTATCTCTAAATATTGAAACTCAAGGCTTGAATTTGTTTTTAAGTTCTTTCAACTTGAGTAATGCAGAGCAAGTTCTTCACTTTTTAGTCTCCAGTTCTAGGGCTCAGCACATATCTTACTTTACTTTGTCCTCTTGAGTTGCCCTTTGAAATCTTCTGTTCATCTCTTTGACTTCAGCATTTCTTCCCTTTCTTTGTTTTGGCCTCTCAATGTTCTACTGCAATGTTCAGTCTCTTCTGATATTTATTTGTTTTGGTCTTTTCTTCCTCTTCTGTCTTTGCAATGATAGTTTGCTCTCTTCATAAATATCTTCCTTCCCCTTTTTTCTTTATATTTCTTTTTTTTGTTTAAAAAGTACATTTTTATTTTATACTGGTTTGCTTACAAAGCCTGTATACATTGTTTTTCACAGCAGATCTTTCTCATTTCCTTTACATCTATCTCTCCCTCCACTTGTCAAATTGTATGACCCTGTGATTGCCCCCCGCCCATCCTCACTGCTCTGCTTCTATCCTCCCCTCCACTTGGATCCTCATACATGTTTTACGAGTTTTCTGTATATTTCTGCAATAATGGTCTTATACAGTGTTTGTCCTTATGGGATAAGTTAGCTTACTCAGCATAATGCTCTCCAGTCCCTCCCAAGTTATGTACTAATTTTTGAAATTTTTGCTCCTGCATGCTGTTTAGTATTTCATCATGTGACTGTACCACAATTTCTCAATCCACTTGACTATTGTTGAATATTTGGACTGTTTCCGTGTTCTTATTATGATGAATAACACTGCTAGGAACATTGGTGTACAATCTTCATTTGTGTCTATTTCTAATTTTCTTGGGGTGTGTTCTAAGCAGTAGAATAGCTGGGGCATATGGAATTTCTATGTTCAGCTCTTTGAGGGAGCACCAAACTGCTATGAATAATATCTTTGATGTCATCCCATAATGCAGCTGGTGTTCAATCATTACTGTTCAGTGCCTAACCTACTTGGAGATGATTTTTAAATTTAGGTGGAATATACTCAAGGGAGTTTTGGCCCTAAAGAACTTGTTTCAGTTTTCTTTAGCTTCAATTTGAACTTGCACATGAGCAATTTGCTCTATATCATCTGGTTTGTTTTTTTTTCGTAGTTAAAAAATCACAAGTAAACTTTTTTTTTTAACATTCTTTGCTTTCAGGTAACATCCATTTGACATAAAAATGGTACCCCTCATCCCATGGGTTCTTTTAAATCCAGCTTAAATTTCTAGCAGTTCAATGTAGTGTTCCAGTCATTTAAAAAAATAATCTTCAGCAATATTTTACTTTTGTGTGCTATTGTTTGAGAATTTCCACTATCTGTTGCATTGTCCTTTTTTTTGGAATGAGCACAACTATGAATCTTGTGTGATTAACAAATTACATATTGCAAATCTTTTTAAAGATTCAATACTTAAGAATCCAATCAACTACATCTGTGGAAAGAGATGGTGAAAAAGCTCAGAATCATTAGTCAGATGATCATCAGTTAGGCCTTAAGTTTGCCATTTTATTTATTTAATTTTTGTTTGTTTTCCCCTTATTTCTTATTATATTTATTTTAGTAATTAACTTTATTGTTGTTGTTGCGTACCATTGAATTGAGTCCAATTAACACTGGAGGTGACTGTCCCTCTTCTCCAGCAGAGCATTTGGTGGATTCAAACCACACACCTTTGGGATTGCAGTGCAGCTTCTTGCCAGTAGACCACCAGAGCTCCCTCACCCTTTGTTTTTCTTACCTTCTTGTTAGGGGATTACTGTTTGTTTGCTGTTCCCTCTTTGTCCTGCCCCCCACCCCTAATAAGCTTTTGAGTCCTATTTGGCTATTAAAACTATTCCTATGTATTATTTGCTAAAAGTTAAAATTGTTATTATATTATTACTATTTTTTTAAAAGCATGTTCCTTTTCTATAATAAGGAGGATGAAACAAAAAAATTCCAAACAATTCTTGCCATGTCTTTTGCTTATTTTGTAATTTGATTATTAGATTTCTTCTTGTGGAGGCCCAGGAGTAGTCTGTAAACTTTCGTTATGAGACTCTTGTCTGAGCTGGTATTATCAAATGTTTGTTCCCAGTCTGTAGGTTTCTTTTCACCCTGTTGGAAAAAGTTTTTGATGAACACAGGCATTTAATCTTTAGATGATCCCATTCATAAATTTTATTTCTTCAGATTGTACATTTCTGGCTGTATTTGGCAGTCTCTTTATACCATAGATTAGAGTTTCTAAGCTTGATCCTTAGTTTGTCTCTTATGAATTTTATGGCTTTGGGCTTTACTTCCAAGTCTTTTATCCACCTTGAGGTGATTTTTGTGTATGGTGTGGGATGTGGATCCTGTTCCAGCTTTCTGCAGTCAGCAGTCCAGTTTTGCCAGCACCATTAGTTGAAGAGGTTGTCATTTCCCCATTAGATAGGTTTTATTTCCTTGTTGAATA